ATATAGGCTCTCAACTGGAGAGGAGCGGAAGGCGCCTAGGGCTAAGCGGAGACCGCTGTGGTGGACTGTATCAAGGTGAGCAAGAAGAGAGGTTGAGGCAGAGGAGTAGATATGGCATCCATAATCTAGAGTGGAGAGAATCAAAGTAACATGAAGATGGAGGAGAGTTTTGCGATCTGAGCCCCAGGAGATATGTGAAAGCGTTTGTAAGATTCGGAGGCGACGTTGAGCTTTTTCTTTGATATACAAGATATGGTCTCGCCAGGACAATTTGGAATCAAATATAACGCCTAGGAATTTGCCAGAAGACCGGTATTGGAGTGGAGCATTATATAAGAAGAGTGGGGGTTTGGGGACCGTACGTAAGCGAGAGAAAAGGATGGGGAAAGATTTAGAGGTAGAGAAGCGAAAGCCATGGTTGGTGGCCCAAGAAGTTACTGATGTTATTGCAGACTGAAGGAATTGACAGAGATCTGGTATGGATGTGCCAGATGCATAGATGGTTAAGTCATCAACATATAGTGATGCTCTGGCTCCTGGTGGTAGGACTGGACTATGTCATTTACAGCAAGAAGGAATAAAGTGGTACTAAGCACACTTCCTTGTGGGACTCCTTCGAATTGAGGAAAGGATGATGAAGTGGAAGAGGCAATCTTGACCTGGAAAGTGCGTTTAGAAAGGATTTAATGAAAACACCCATGTTTCCACATAAACCTAGGGAGGACAATTGTTGGAGGATATGGTATCGCCATGTGGTGTCATATGCTTTTTCTAGATCAAAGAAAATGGCTAATACGGATTCATGGCGTGCAAATGCCGATGTAATGTATGTCTCAAAATGGGCAAGTGGGTCTGCTGTACTTCGGGCACGTCGGAAACCAAACTGGGAAGGGGAAAGGAGATTATGAGATTCTAGGTATCACATTAAACGGAAGTTAACCATTCGTTCTAGTAGTTTACACAAGCAGCTAGTTAGAGCTATGGGGCGGTAATCTTGGGGTAGGGTACCTGATTTATTGGGTTTTAAGAAAGGTAGGATGAGAGCATCTCGCCAATGAGAAGGAAAATTTCCTGTCGTCCATATGTGCTTGAAAATAGTTAAAAGGAAGGATAGAGAGGAAGATGGGAGGTGTCGGAGCATACGATAGTGAATGCCATCAGGGCCTTCATGAGTGTTGCGGCACGACTGTAATGCAGCGTTGAGTTCAGAAGAAGAAAAGGGGCATTATAGGACTCATCAGAGGATAGGGTGAAGGTAATAGGGGTGCGCTCCTTGATGGTTTTAATGGAAGAAAAGTGTGGGGAAAGGTGAGAGCCACTACTGACCTGGCTGAAATAGTTGCCCAGTTCATTAGCTACTTCTACAGGCTCAGAGATGAGAATATCTCGAATATGGAGGACGGGTGCAGGATGGGGGGATGTTTGCCTGATAGTTTATGGATCCGTCGCCAAACAGCTGAAATAGATGTAGAAGATGTAATTGAGGAAACATAATTTTGCCAGCTATTTGTTTTGCTGTTTTTAATTGTACGGCGAAGATGGGCAGATGCTCTTTTAAAGGAAATAAGGGCTGATAGCTGGTGGGGTGCCTCGTTTGTAGCGATAGCTGTTCCAGGCTGCTCGTTTTAAGCGGAGCGCTTTGGAGCAATCAGAATTCCACCATGGAACACATTTAGAAGTATAGGGTCTTGAAGTTCGAGGAATGGCTGTATAGGCAGCTCTTAGGATCGTTGTTGTAAAACAATGTAGCATATCTGAAATGGACAGTAAGGGGGGTGGAGGGATAGGTATAGTAGAGAGTGAAGTGAAAGTATGCCAGTCAGTTCTATCGAAGCACCAGCGTGGAGGATTAGGAAGTGGTACATATGAAGTAGGAGAAAGGAGTATTGGGAAGTGGTCACTATAGGGGAAGTGGTCTAGAACTGACCAATGGAAATCTAGATGTAAAGTAGGAGAGCATAGAGAGAGGTCAAGGCATGAAAAGGATTGTGTGCGCATGTCAAAGTGTGTGGGGGCGATCTGAATTAAGAATAATTAGGTTATTTGTGAAGAGGAAGCGTTCTAGAGATCGGCCTCGGGAGTTGGTGGTAGAGTCACCCACAGAGTGTGGCGGCAGTTGAAATCACCAACTATGAGGAAAGGTGGTTGGAGTTGGGAAATTAGAGTGTCAAAGGCAGTAAAGTCAATGGGATGGGATGGGGGAGAAGTAGACTGAAATCACTGTGATCCAGCGGCGAAGAAAGATGCGAATAGCTGTGCACGGGACCGAAGTTTGTATGGGAGGTATGACATAAGGTGTTTTATGATGGATAAGTATAGACGACACATAAAGGGAGTGTGGGGAAGAGATAAAATGGTAATTAGGAATTGGAATAGGAAGGTGTGTGAGGAAAGTCTCTTGGAGGCAGATAATAGATGGATTATAAGAAGCAAGGATATGACGTAGGTCTGATCTATGAGAGCGGAAACCGCGAATATTCCAATGTAGGAGAGCTATACCCTAGTTGATTTATGAATGATAACACATTTACGTGTTGGGGAATTTGAAGGGGAAGGAGCTAGGGGGTGTAAAGGAGGGATATTAGGAGGTAGGGAGTCTGGAGAAGGGCATTGTTGTGCCATGAGTGATTCTCGTGTGTATCCTGGAGGGAGTGCAAAGGATAGAGGGGATGGAGGGAGGGAGAATGTGCCTATAGTTGGGGTTGAAGGGGGTGGGTTTGTTTGGGAGGGAGTAGATGTGTGGGGAGTGTTAGTGTTAGGAGGATGAATATCAGAAGGATGGATAGTTGGAGTTGAAGGGGATGTGTTGTCTTGGGAGGGATTAGGAGGAAAGGGTGTAGGGGTGCTGTGAGTAAGAGGGGGATGCATATCAGGAGGATGGGTATTGGGAGGATGGATATCAGTGGTGGTTGGGATTGAGGGGGTTAGGTTGTGTTGGGAGGGAGTAGGAGGAAGGGGTGTAGGGGGAATATTAGTAGGAGGGTTATGAATATCGGCAACCACTTCAAGTGTGGAAGGAGCATGAGTTATGGGATTTTGTGTCTCAAGCATATAGCTTTGAATGTCATCCATTGTTTCTGCAGTGGAGTTTGTTGGAGAGTTTTGTGAGAAGGTAATTGTTTCTGCAATGGAATTGGTTGGAGAGTTTTGTGAATAAAGGTTTTCTTATGAGGGGGGGAAGAGGAGACTGGTGTCTCAGGAACAAAGGTATAGGTAGGTGGAGGTGATTGTGCTGTAGGGGAAGAAGGGTTAGAACGTTTAGTCTGTCTACTGCGGGTAGTGCGGGGAGGGAGAGGGGTTGGTGTTGGGGCTGTAGTTGAGATAGGAGCTGTGGTTGAGATTGGGGTGTCTGGGTTTAGAGTGGCAAAGGAATTGGTCTGAGGGATGTAGAATGTAGAAGTGGAAATGGGGACATTTTTGGGTGGAGGGGGAAGGGCTGAGCGAACGATGTTGCTAGAATATGGAGTATGAGAGAAACCTTGTCGACGTGCTTCCTGTCTGGCTTCACGTAAAGTGAGACCATTTTTGTATCTGAGAGTTGCTACCTCAGATTCAAATTTGTAAGTGGGACAGCCTCTATAAAATACATTATGGGGGCCGCCGCAGTTAGCACATGTTTCGTGTTTGTGCTGAGCAGTTTGATCGATTATGACCAGGTTGGGCACATATGGGGCATCGGTCTGTGGAACGGCAATGTTTGGCAGGATGTCCAAAGCGCCAACAGTTTTGACATTGACGTGGAGGGGGTTGGTATGGTCGAACAGGGAGGGATTGTCCACCAATGTAGATACGTAAGGGAAGGTCATGTGTACAGAAGGTAATTTTGGCAATATTGGTTGGATTCTTTCGTTGACCTTTAGGAGGAATGGTGTAGCAATGTACTGATTTCACATCTTGGTCTTTGAGGCATCCTAATAAGTCTTCTCCACAGTCTGACCAATCTTTGGTATCGACTGGGCAGTTTGCTGGGGAGAGAGAGACAGTTCCGGTACAGGTATTAAGGGTTGGATGAGGTTCTGCAGGAATGGGGTTGCCAGAATGATCAGTTAAATTTGACAGTGCTATAGATTCAGTTTCTGATCTGTTACCAGACGGGAGCGATCGCGTCTGGTATAGAAAGGGACTCTACCTACTTGTTTTTGGAGGCATTGTTGAAAGAGAAGAGTGTTGCCTGAGTAAGGAGCTGTATCAGGGATCACGAAAAATCGGTCCCATTTAGCTGGGCTAAACAGAGTATTTAAGATATCTGTAGGGTTGGTGGTGGTGGATAGTCGGGGACGTGTGGAAGAGGGAGTATTACGGAATGATGGAGAATAAGGTTGCAAGGTAGTAATAAGGGAGGATTGGTTGTTTGATGAAGGTTGCAGGGGTGGAGTTGAATTTGAGGAAGTTGGGTGGGTAGGAATGTCTTCTGGAGATTGATTCTCTGCTTGGGTGGGTAATGCACTAGTAGGCATTGAGGAGTGGGCAGTAGTTTCAGTGTTCGGAGCCGTGGTCAAAGGAGAGCTTGGGTTGGGGCTATTTGATAAAGGGGCTAGCCTCATAGCCTCTAATAAAGGGATTACATTCTCATTACTGGTCATGGGGAACCTGGATTATGTAAATAGGCCTATTCGGTCCACCTCCTTTCGCTACTGAAGGTAAGGGCTAGATTAGTCAGGAGTACCGTGCCCATAGTTCCCGCAGGCCGTTCAGGACTGGCACTAGGTCAGCCTTTCATCCTCTCAGCACGGCTCTCACACCTTAGGAAGTAGATAGCAGAAGGGGATGGAGAAGAGACGGAAACAAAAGCTGGAGAAAAAAAAAAGACCATGTTGATTAGTTGAGTCGAGGGCTGAGGCCCTAGGCAGGGGAGATCCCTGTATTGGGTCTCAGTCTTCGTCTCCTAAGCCCCCCCACGACAACAACGGGCAAGGGATTGGGGGGGAGCAATAATAAAGAAATGTTGTATAAGCGTCCCCTAAACACAGTATATAACGTTCCCTTCCCTCTTCCCTAAGCCACGGGAGTGACGACCTACTCCCTCCACCCCGGTGTTGTGCAGACGGAGTTAGGTCGCCACATCCACGAGTCCGTCAACTCCTTCATCCACTGGGCCTTCCACTTCTTTGGGAAGTTCTTTTTCAAGACGGTAGTCCGCGGCGCCCAGACGACCATCTACTGCGCGGTGGACGAGTCGCTTGCCACGCAGTCGGGGAAGTATTACAGGTAAGGGGCAGAGATTTAATAAAGTTCACATGTGTGATGGCTCGCATGTGTATTCGTTATTCTTTATTTCCAGGTTGTATATATTCCACTGTGTGATGTTTATAGTAGTATTGCTTTCTTTGGATTTTTTTTTTTTTTTTTTTTTTTTTTTAATATGAACTGAATTTCCAGTCACTGCTTAATTTCTTCAAGTTGGTTTAAAAAATCATGAAAACATAACTGTTTAACCTAATCGACTTAATAAATACCCGATTGTTCAAAATGCAGATACATTTTTTGGTGTTGGAGGGGGGAGGGGGAGTGGAACGCAGTAGTATATGTGCCAGTTTCCCATCATCAAAGCTTCATTTGAATGTAAAAAAAAAAAAAAAAAAAAAAAAATAACACTTCTACCCGTCCATTTAGTATTTTTTGCCGTCCTGTATCACATATTTGCACTGCTTTAGGTTCTTGACTCTTGCGACGATAGCTTAATGGTACAAAATGTTCATCACACATACAATTTAGTTTTGAAAGTGCAATGTATTCCAGTGACTGTGCAGAAAAGAGACCACACCCGAACGGTCTGTCGGATGAGGACGCCAAACGGCTGTGGGACACGAGCTTGCAGTTGGTTGGCCTCGATCAGTATAATGTCTAGACCAAGGTATCAATTGACGCCTTATTACACCTGATCACAAACGCTGCTCTTCATATCGATTACTGATTTCCGGCGTACGATTTGCCCTCACTATACTTGTCCTTCCTTTAAGTCGTGTATCGTTCTTTTGTTTGCATGCAAAACTATTTTAAGATGTAATGGTGGCAATAAAGATCTATAGATTTTTCATTAATAAAATATTTAAGTTGCATTGTTTTATTTCCTCAGTGCATTACACTTGTACACACACACGGCGCACTCGCGACCGTCAAAATGAGGAAACAAAGATACCTCTTTAAATAACCTGACAAGCTTCGCCACAAGTTCCGGGTTGGCTCGCTGGGCTGGTCATGAGTGTGTTCGGGATGCGTCTCGAATGAGCCCCAGGATTGCATTTGCATTGGGCATTCTCTGGACTTGCTCAAGTTTTGATGTATGACTTTGTGGAACTTCATGCATACTGAACAGAAAAGTATGGTTGCACGAGTAATGGCTGCCCGTGACAATCGACAAACATCACCTGTACATACTAATAGCAAGGTGCAAGGGGAGGTTCAAAAAGAAAATGGTTTTGTCAATATCGTGCAGAATATGACCAAAGGTCTGAGTTTTTAAACATTCACATTGAACAATCTTACTATCTTTATAAACCTAAACTGCATGGGAAGTAGCTAAGGCCTCAAATCAGTGATCAAAAAAACTCGTTCAGGAGGTGCCCGATGGGCACCAATTCTCCGGGCAAAACGGACAGGCAAACCAACAGAGTGCAAAGTCCGCCGGGCACTGTTCGATTATGAGTTCAGGGCCTAAAGCCTTCACACGAACGGGCATCATCGGCGGGCAAAGGAGTGGATACGAGCAAGCTTTATACAAGTCGTAAAGACCTTGGGCACGAGGTCACAGGCGGGTAAACCACTCGATAAACAAGTGAGGGCCTATCCACAACGCGGAAACTACAATTACAAAAGCGCATTGCATGTAAATTCAAACATTCACATAGTACATGATTCTTCACTATTTGAAGTATGCATTACCTTTGATGACCTAGGCGGTAATCCGCGTATCTGTTGCAATTTTTTTTTCTGCCCGTGTTAACATCTAAGGTCATTAGTGGCATATTCGGCTGGGGAAGGAAACGCCCAGGTAAAGGTCAAACAGCATTGTGATAAAATAATGAGGGGAAAAGGGGCAAATAGTTAACGATTATGGCAAAAATGTTAGATGTCAAAGGTTGTAGAGGTATGAAGTATGGTAGTGAAAAGGGGAAAATGGAGAGACTAACGGAGGCCATTCACGACTGAGACAAAGGCAATCTCTACACTTTTCAGCCCGGCTGTAACACTTTAGGGTAAGGACAAAAGGGGATGAAGAAAAGGAAAAGGAAATTGGGAGAAGCAGCAAACCATGCAAAATTAGTGGAGGCAAGGGCGGAGGGCCAAGGTAGGGGTGATTTTCTGATCTAATCTGGGCCTCAATGTCCGTCTCGTAAGTTCACAGCTTGTATCATCTATACAAATTCCTGGAAATTTTACCTTTCTCCACAAATTCCTGGAACAAATTTTACCTTTCTCCACAGATCTAGAGCATGAAGAATATTTTCACTCCAGCTGACCGATTCTCAAGTAAGGTCATCAAGTGATACACAAATTCCTTGAGTGATTCCATAATTGATTTAAACTAAACTGAATTTGGTAACCATACATCATACTTTTAGATTATTTCATGACCTTTTTCTTTTAAGAGCTGTAGCTTCATACATTTCAAATCCTTGTATTCATGGGTTATTTTTCAGATTCCTGGAGGTAATACCACATTTTGCGGATCAAAAAAGGCACAGCACCCTTCAAAATCCCACAAATCAAAGCAATCTTTTTAACATTTTGAATGTATGGATAATGGAGATCTTTATGAATGAAAGTAGCTCATTTTCATATTCTTTGGCATCTAATAACATTGGAATAACAGTTTTGAAGGTTGAAGAAAAATTCAAGATACTGATAAACCATGTATTTGTGTTTGAATACCAGGTCCCTAGTAATACCCCTCTTGGGCACCAGGTAACAATCTCACACGCCAGGCTGGGCAGCACATGGGCACCAATTTTAAACACCACTTTGATCTTGTAAAGCATTTATACTAATCAGTTATACCTACTGGCTATGATTTAATTCTTGGGTGACTATTCTATAGATATAACTGGGGCTATTTAGCATATGTATAATAGCCCCATCACAAGCAGTTTGACAAACCACACCTTAAAATCACCGTATACCCTTGGAATTACAAATTCAAAAAATAATTATAAAAGGAATAGAATGTGTTTGGATGTGGAATAGGCAACCCCTATCAGTCTAGACTGCAATCTTTCAGAGTTGGAGGATGTAATGCCGTGTCAAATAGATTCACCTCAGCACAAAAACAGATAAAAAAAAAAAGAAAAAAAAAAAAAAAAAAAAGAAAAGAAGGGAGGACCTACATCCTCGAAGGCGTATCATTACAACCCCAACCCACAAGAGCATCCAGGCTCAGGTCATCTGCCTGTTGGGAAAGAATAAGCACCAGATTGCCCTTTGATCCCCCTACGACCTGCTATTTGTTTTTCCTGGTCCCAACCCGTGCTACCCGCCCCAAGGACAACCACACTAACTGCCACACTTGTGTTCTTGGCTCCTTGCACCGTACAAAACAATAGTAATAGTAAATCTTGGTCTATGGGGATTATTACCACAGTAAAGGATATGCCGACGTGAGGCGCCAGAAGACATAAGCAAGCCCACCCAGAATGGACTGGAAACTTGGGAAGTGTCCTAATGGCCTACTGGAATAGTTTTCCATTTAGTTATACAAAACTGGTCAGTAAAATATGTACCATTACTGTGTAAACTTTAAAAAAAAAAAAAAAAAAAAAAAGTGCAGATACCATTTTTATCTGCAACCCATCCATATTAAATTATCAATTCTCTGAAGAATATCAAGATCGTCTGAACATATGAATACATATTAAACTATACGATTATTCCTGTGCATGGTACATTACTTCACTGTCCAAGTGGAGAAAAAATATAGCCCTTTCAAAAAGAGGGGATTAATCATCACTGGAATGAACTTTGTATTTTTAACTTAAGATTGCTCTTGCTGCATCAAGTGTAAAATACATTTATAAACACAAGAGTGAATCTCTCCAATAGTAAACAAAAAATACAATGCTTGGCAATGCCCCTAACCCTTTGCAGCAATGGAAACTAAAAAAAAAAAAAAAAAAAAAAAAAGTGCACCCACAACACCACAGGTGATCAGAACTTGCTGTCAAGCCTCTTGGTTTTCACTTTTACATCATAGAAGACGACTTCTGACAATAACAAAGAACCAATTATAAATGTAAAAGCAAGAATAGAAAAAGACTTTCCTAAATGAGCAAGTCTCAACAACCGTCTGCATCACACTAATGGTTCAAAGAGGATGACCTGCAAGACTTCACTGTCACTGACAACATTGCACTTTATAACTGCCACCAAAAACTGAGCAAACCTTTTGGCTTCACAACTCATTTCAATTTATCAGTCTTGTTACTCAGAATAATTAAAGCAATTTTTACAATTCCGATAAATAAAGCCTATCAAACAAGTAGCTAATAATCTTTGAGCGAATCTTTCAAAATTTCTTCCATAGCATACATGCAAGTTGAACACTTACAGCTGATAAAAGTCATTCAAATTCATACAGAAAATTGTTCAGAAAACGTAATTTCTTTATAAATGGTCCTCACTTGTAACAGCTATCTCCCATGAAGCTTCAATTTCCAGGACATTCTACAAAAGAATATTCGTATAAAATACATCTTAATAGCAAAAGTCTTCATGGCATTCAGCTGCTCTGGCTGTGGACCTCCAACACTGTGGCCAAGGTTGGACGATAGACAATGTCAGTGAAACTCTTGCAAGTTGTGGCTGCTTCTTGTACCTCCTATTATTTTTCACTGTTTAGCCCCAGCACCCTGCAACAGATAAACATGATCATTAATATCTCTGCCTAAATGGAAAGTAGATTA